GATTAGCACAACTCCCAACATGGCCTCTGCCTCCTGCAGACTCCAGCCGACAGCCTGACTGGCTCCAGACTTCAGGCAGACCGACCTCAATTCTCATAGACTGCTTCCTGTCCAGAAGCTCCACTATATCAAACAGCCCTTCCCACCCAGGAAGTGGCTCTCCCTCCTGCAGCATTCTGGGGCAGATCTCCTCACAGCCTAGACGGACTTCCTGTCCTCTCTAGGGAGCTGCCCTCTGATTGCTGGTTGGAGACAGGAGGGGGGGTGAAATGAGGAGGAGACTAGGCCATCTCAGGTTTGATGGTCCCCTCCCATCTGGCCCACACCAACTTAAACATAGGCATAAAATGGCGTTTCTCCACAAGTGCATTACAACATCCCTGTAATGTACTCCACAGCTAATCGCTCCACATTTCTGATTGCTGGGCTATGTGTGTGCCAAGGCTGAGAGCTGGTAGTTTACAACAACCCTGCAACATAGCCCCACTGCTAATATCCCCTCATGGAAGACTGGCAGAGCTGCTCATCCCCAGGTGGTACCTGGTGATCTCCCACTATGACAATTGATCTCCAGACGACCAAGATCAGCTGCTCTGGAGAAAATGGCCGCTTTGGAGGGAGGACTCTATGGCATTATGCCCTGCTGAGGTCCCTCCCCTCCCCAAACCCCGCCTTCCCTAGGCTCCACCCCCCCCAAACCTCCAGGTATTTCCCAACCCAGAGCTGGCAGCCCTAGCAACCTAGTAATGTGGTCCAACGTTACTGTCCCCGAGATGCGAGGAGAGGGGACCAGTGTTCCCTCTAAGCTGAGTTAGTCTGAGCTAGCTCACAGTTTTTTAGCCTCCGGCTCACACATTTTTGTCTTAGGAAGGAGGGCTCCAGAGCAAACTAATTTATGCAGCAGCCAAGTCAATGCCAGTAGCTCACAAAGTAGAATTTTTGCTCACAAGACTCCACAGCTTAGAGGGGACTGAAGTGCTACAAAAAGATTTAAGTTTTAAGACGTCTCTTCTCCAACCTTCGCAGTCACATGTCGCCAGCCGGGTTCCGCCCTCCCCCCCCATTAGGGGGGCATATAGGACACACGCTAGCCTTCTTCGACTCTATGGTGCGCGCTACGCTTGGAGGCAAAAGACGCGCGTTGAGTTCCGCACATGCGTGGCCTCCCCGGAAATGAGGGCTTGGCGAGCATGCGCGGTGGGCCGGCCGGGGGAGGCACGTGAAGGTCGCCTCGCTGCTGCCCGTTTCGCTGTTCCTTTGCTTCGTTCGGCGGGCTGGGCATGGACTCTTCGTCCGCCGCGGGGGACCTGGGGGCGGCCGTCAACGACCCGCAGCTGCAGCACTTCATCGAGGTGGAGACGCAGAAGCAGCGCTTCCAGCAGCTCGTGCACCAGATGACGGAGCTCTGCTGGGTAGGGCGGGAAGAAGCGCCGCCGGGGGTGGAGGAGGAGGGGGGGGGGCAGCTTCTCCAGCAAGAGTGGCCTGCACGCCTCTTGTGCCTTTACACAGCGGGCGGGACGGCAGCGATCCTCCGACGCCTGCGACTTTCCCGTTGCGAAAGAACTGGGAGTGTTTCCTCCATGATTTGCGTGCGGAGGGTTCCGGGTTCGGTTTCCCACCAGGTTAAAGACCTTTGTTGGCCGGTGGTGGGAAAGTCTGTTAGAAGACTTGGTCTGACTTACTGTACGCGGCGTCAGGTATTCGGTCAGGAGAGAGGAAGTGGATTTATGTTTTCAGGTGGCAAAATATTTATTCGCACAATGCATAATTCTCTTGTGGAGCTCACTGCTACAGTGCACTGATACTGCATTGACCGGGGGATTGGACTAGATGGCCTGTACGGCCCCTTCCAACTCTGTGATTCTGTGATGTAGCGGAGGTGACTTTAAAAAGGGATTACATATAAAGAGATATTTGCCGTGATGGGCTAAATAGATCCTCCATGTTCAGTGGCAGTATATCTCTGAATGGCAGTTGCTGGGGGGGGCAACAACAGGTCGGCTTTGGTTCCTATGACCCTGTTTGTGGGCCTTCCAGGACAGCCACAAACAAGCCACTATAGGAATCAGAATTCTGGATTACATGGTTTGATCCAGCAAGTTATGTTTGTGCTGTTGAGTTTTACCTGAGGTCAGACTGTTGTAGTTGTTTGGTTGGATTTATACTCCCTACTGAAAGAAGCTAGCATTTTTCCATTGCACAAAACTGTTAAAATGATTTCATTAAAAATTGATCGTAAATAGAAGGATCAGTGCACAGTACATAAGAGTAGAGATGTAAAATTTCTGAAAATTTTGAAGCTTGGAAAAAACTCTGGGTTTTTGGGGGGGAAGTGGAAATTTTTGGGAAAATTGAAAAAAAATGCTACATTAGCACTTCTTTTTTTCTTTTCCAGATTGAAAGTCATTCTGTTACTTTAGGAACGTAAAATAGGACTATGGACATTTTTACTTGGCATGAAATTATCACAACTCGCATATTAAAAATATAGTGTATCCAAACAATTATTACAAGCAGAATACCCCCCACGCACATGCAAAAACAAAACTGAAACCTTTTCCTTTTCTTGTGACAATAGCACCTCCTAAAGGAAGAAATGCATCTTGTTCTTGCATTGGAGAGTTCAGTTTGTAACCTAGGACTTGCTTGTCCTCAGTGCACGTAAATTAGATCAATCTGATACCATACATATTTTTAGAAATGATTTGGAAAATATTTGAACACCTTGTCTTAAAATATTTTATTCATTGTGTTAAAATAAAACGTTCCATAATCAATTTTTTTTCTTTTTTCAATTTTTCAGAAAAAAATAAAAAAAGGCTTTAGGAAAAAAGTGGGGGTTTTCCCCCGATTTTTTCTGGGTTTTTTCTGGGCCTTCACATCTCTACGTAAGAGTCCTGGTGGATCAGACCAAGGTGCATATAGCCTGTTAATCCTGTTTCCTACTACGGCCAGCCAGATGCTTCCGATTAATTCATGAATTAATAAGGGCCTCTGAACCTGGCAGTTCCATTTAGCAGGTAGGGCTAATAGTGATTAATAGATCTGTTCTCCTCAAGTTGGTCTAAATCCCCTTTAAGGTCAACAAAGCCACTGATGATCGTCACATCTGGCCAGCTGCAAACTGTGTAAGCTGATGGAAACTCAGACAAGTGGATTCAACTGTTGCTTAGGCCAGTATCGGTAAAAGGTCTTTCAGTGGCAGTGGTGGAAAAGATGACATGAAGATGCCTACTTCAGCTAGCCTTTTGTGTGGCGCTAGGCTTGTGGGTACTTCCTGAAAGATTTGGGTTGAAGCACACAGAGAGCAGATACAATCCTGCTACGATGTGGAATTGTTAAGGGGTGTGTGTGTGTGGTCTATCTGGCCCACACTTGGAAGGCCCAAGGCGATCGGACAGGAGTCTTTCATTGCCCTTCTGTCTGAGATACTTTTAACTAGAAATGCCAGAGAGTGAACCTTGGACCTTCTGCTTGCCAAGCAATCTGGGAACCGGGTGGAGATGTTGCGAGCCTGCAGTGGCGGAAGATGTTGCTTTGTGTTTTATATGTGTGTTTATGTATTTGTTAAGCAGCTGCTGGACACTTGTCAGGGGTGTTCTAGGCTGATCTTGCATTGAACAGGGGGTTGGACTAGATGTCCTGTAGGACCCCTTCCGACTCTGTGATTCTTTAATCCTATAACTCTCGTCATTTCTCCTGCTACAGTCGTGAGCAGTGGTGGTGGCACTGGGGAAGGGGATAAGTATGGAAAGAGAACCTAAGGGGTAGGATGGATGTTCGGCTGTTTTGAACAGCAGGGAAGCTGGGTGTGTCCCTGCTGTGTATCACAAAGAAAGGCTGTATGCTTTGTGCGGGTTCTGCTGTTCAGAATGCACCGCTGCTCCTTTCTGTGCACAGGCTGACTCTCTCCCTTTCACATCTCAAACAGGAGAAATGCATGGACAAACCTGGGCCCAAGCTGGACAGCCGAGCAGAGACCTGCTTTGTGAACTGTGTGGAACGCTTCATAGATACAAGCCAGTTTATCCTCAACCGGTTGGAGCAGACACAGAAATCTAAGTCGGCCTTCTCGGAGAACCTGTCTGACTGAGCCGGGGGCATTGGCATCTCTGTTTCTTTAACTAGAGGAAAACGTCCGACCAAGTTGGGAGAGGAGGAAAAAGGGAGAGCAGAGGAAAAGGACCGACAGTGAAAAGAGGCTGTGCAGGAGGTGGGCCTCCTCCTTTGTGACAGGTTCCAGGACTTCCTACCAAGACAATCGGTTCTGGTTTTCAGTTACCCACCTTGTGAACAAAAACAGTCGGGCCAACGAGGCCATGCAGCATCACACATTTGCTACCCGCCGTGGGCTTGTGCTGCCCCGTTTTCTTTTAATAACGGAAGCTTCACACCTCAGTTGTGTGGCTTTGGCCGTCTTGCTTTCCCCAAAGGCTTGGCCTGGGAAGCACAATCTGTTCATACTTGAGAAAACGTCTTTCTTGAAATAGGGAGGCTTGGGAGGCTTCAGACACTTAATGTGAATTTTGGGAAAGGCAGGGGTGGAAATGTGCCTTTTACGAACGGTGCTGCGCTTTAGCACTACTCTTTTAAGCCAGGCAGCAGACTCACCTGTGACTCCGTGGACCTTTGTGCACCACAGCTGGGCCCTGCAGCTAAACCAGGGGAAGGTGGGCTTCACTTGCACTAGTATGCCAGTAGAACCCTGTGGTCCTTCAGGAGGTGCTTACTCACATCCTCTTTAAAATGGCTAGGAATACCTCCCCCCCCACAATACAGCTGTTGGGGGGGATTGTCACTTGTCTGGTCACGTAGACACGTCACTTGAGAAATACAAGAGTTAATACTAACTTTTCCCATTCGCTGCTTTCTCCCGACCAGTGGAATAAACATCAATTGGATCTGTTGAAAACTGCCTGTAGAGTTGGTGGCATTTATTACTTCAACTAGATTTGCTGGAATTCAGGTACAGGGGGAACGCTGGGTAGTAAATCACGATAATCTGAAATACGGTGTATCCTGTAGAAAAATTCTGGCAAGTAGTATCGGGCAACGCAGCTCACGATTTTCCTGAGCAATAGTCCACAAATTAGTTAGCACGTACAATGGATGTCAACCTTAGTCCTGTAAATGTCCTCCAGAGTTATTTTGCAACCAGTGTTTCTACTAGCCTGTCTGCTAGTATATAGGTATAGTAGCGATTTGTGGCCCCTAAAGAGACAACTTTGGCAAAGTTTCCTTGCCTGATCAGCTGGAGGGGATCTTCACCACAAGCAACCGAGTGAATTGTCAGGTAGAAGCTGGGCAGCTTTAAAATGACTATTCCTTAGAAAAGGAATTGGCTGGTACGTAGGAATAAGTACAGCTTATACATTCTTCTGTGTGAATTATTCTGCCAGCTGTAGTCACTGAAGTAATTATAATAGTTGTGTTAATCTGTTGCAGCATAAACTTTATGGCAACTTAAATACTCGCAAATGCATTGTGGAGCTAAGGTTTTGCAGCCTGAAGCCCACCAACAGGTACCTAAAGTGGTTACCTAAATCAGTAGGCGTGTATATTCTCAAGTACGGGGGGGGGGGGGGAGAGACATTTTATTCATTTGTGCTAAACCACAACATATTGATCTTCATGTTGCCGCAAGATTCTCTGGTTTTATTTCCATATAGTATCTTGGTTGTTCCACTGTATCTAGCAGCTGCTTCTGCTCTGCTATAAGAAAGCAGGGATAAAAATAATTACTTTTTAGAGTTGATTTATGGGCAGTGTTTCCTCTAAGCTGAGTTAGTGTGAACTGGCTCACAGTTTTTTAGCCTCCAGCTCACCAATTTTTGTCTTAGCTCAGGAAGGGATGGCTCCGGAGCAAACTAGTTTATGCAGTAGCCAGATTGCTGACTCACAACTTTAATGCCAGCAGCTCACAAAATAGTACTTTTGCTCACCAGACTCCACAGCTTAGAGGGAGCATTGTTTACGGGTATGTTTTTTTGTTTTCTAGAATTTTGCAAATGCTAGTCCAGCAAGCATGCCTCGAAATTAATCAGGATGTTTCCGTTAGTTTTAGATAATCTGATCATTGCCATCTGTGCAAAAAATTACACAAGAATGAAAAAAGTGTACTGGTGCTATACTAATCTTGTTGCCTATTTCTCTGAAAATCTGTGGCTGGGGAGGGGGGAGGATTACTTGTGTGGGTTTCTTTTTCTCATCTAAATTGTTGCTTAAACCGATGGAACCCATCAGTAGATGAGACAGAGTTTGATTTGCACAGGCAACCATGTTTTTATTCTTTAGGCCACACAAATAACGCTGCAAACAAGGCCCATGTTTTATCAACCTTCCACATGTTCCTAAATGTGTACATATGTTGCAGAACCCATAACTTTAAAAAAAACCCTTATCTGTCTAGCCATGTGGATGTATCCTCCAGGAAGCCAAATCTTTAGCGTGTAGAGTTTAGGTGTAGCGTTTCATTCTTGTTTCAAGGAGTTGGGCACTGACCAGAGAACAAATGTAAGGGGGCATCATTTCACCTGCTTTATGTATTCAATCGATTTGAGGATATTGAGCAACAAGAAATGCAGAATTACTTGGGTGCTCTTGGTTGCAGAGGGGAAAACAGTGAATTTAAGACTACGTTCCGTGCATGTTGCTCTTTCTGGTGCTTGCTGTATTTTTAAAATGTTACCCTTTGGATTAGCATTTGGACAATTTCCCTTTACAACAAAAATACCAGAATGGGAGTTGATTTTTCTTATGGGTGGGACTACTGAGGCTGAGAGCAAGCCCCACAGCTGGATCCATGACCCAGTAGGGATAGCCAGGAAATGACCAGTGTTCTTCTCTTTCCTGAAATCCAACCCAGCAGTACAAGAAAGAGAAGAAATCATTTTATGGTAACACCCAGTTTGCACATTTACTTGAAAATAACTCCTACTGAGTTGAATGGGCTTTTACTCCTAAATAAGGCTATGGTCCTATAAACACAGTTTCCATAATTTTTTACCAAGTGCAATACTATATTCTTGCAAATAACAGGGCTCTTGCAGATCAGTTTCTGGATCTGCACTGTTAATATAGCTTGGACACATGACTTGCAGGGAGAACACACCAAAAGCTGCTTGTCTTGTAACAACAAATGTCAGCTTGCCCCCAAAGCAGAAGTTTCTTAAGTATTTTGCCTGGTTTGGAGTGGAGAAGAGCAAGGATTACCTGAAGCTTCCTCCAGGGTTTGTTCATATAGCAGCTTATGTCTCACCTAACCAAAGCCAAAGAGTTGGAGACTCCAAACCAGCAGTGAATGGCACCAATAGTCTAGGATTTTCCCCATCCCAATGTTTAGAGACTGTGGGTTGGATCCTGCAATCCATTTGTGCAAGGATCACAGGATCTTCCTTTCTAACCTTGTGAAAATTTATTCTTGGGTGGGGGAAATAGGGGCTTACTAAACTAACAGCTGATTTCAGGAGGGGAGCTGAAAGACCTGAGTCAGATTGAGGTGACGAGACAGGAGGTCCTACGACTGATGGACAAATTAAAAACTGACAAATCACCAGGCCCAGATGGCATATATCCAAGAGTTCTGAAAGAACTCAAATGTGAACTTGCGGATCTCCTGACAAAAATATGCAGTCTATCATTAAATCTGCCTCCATTCCCAAGGAAGGTAGCTAATGTAACCTCCATCTTTAAAAAGGGTTCCAGAGGAGATCCAGGAAATTACAGGCTGGTCAGTCTAACGTTGATACCAGGTAAGTTGGTGGAATCCGCTATTAAAGACAGAATTAGTAGGCACATAGATGAACAAAAGCTACTAAGGAAAAATCAGCATGGGTTTTGTAAGGAAAGAATTTGTCTGACTAACCTATTAGAGATCTTTGAGGTCAACAAATGTGGACAGGGTGACCCAATAGATGTTGTTTACCTAGACTTCCGGAAAGCTTTTGATAAAATTCCTCATCAAAGGCTCCTAAGTAAACTCAGCACTCATGGGATAAGAGGATAAGTCCTCTTGTGGAATAAAAACTGGCTAATTAACAGGAAACAGAAAATGAGTATAAATGGACAGTTTTCACAGTGGAGGGTGGTAAGCAGTGGGGTACCACAGGGCTTATTACTGGGTCTGGTGCTTTTTAACTTGTTCCCTAATGATTTGGAGCTGGGAGTAAGCAGTGAAGTGGCTAAGTTTGTGGATGACACTTAAGTTGTTCAGGGTGGTGAGAACCAGGGAGGATTGTGAGGTGCTCCAGAGGGATCTGTCGAAGCTGGGCAAGTGGGTATCAACATGGCAAATGAGATTTAAAGTAATGCACATTGGAGCAAAAAATCCAAACTATACACATTCATGAGGTCTGAACTGGCGGAGACTGACCAGGAGAGGACCAGGAGAGAGATCTTGGAGTCATGGTAGATAACTCACTGAAAATGTCGACTCAGTGTGCAATGGCAATAAAAAAGGCATATGCTGTGCTGGGGATTATTAGGGACTTGAAAACAAATCAGCCAGTATCATAATGCCCCTGTATAAATTGATGGTGTGGCTTCATTTGGAATACAGTGTACAGTT